GAAGGACACGTTAGTGCTGAATGTCCCTTTGGGGATGCTGGTGCGTGCAGTGCTCCGGGATGTCCTTCGTACCAAAGGCAGGATGCTCCTGAACCTCAGGTTTCCTTTCTCCTGTGTGGGTTGTCAGGAGACCCATAGTGCTCTGATTCAGGAAAGCATCTAAACACACTCCTGACTCCCCACTTCCTTTAACTGCCAACTGAATTAGACCTAAATCCCTTTTGCCTATTCAAGGCCTCTAAGGGGCTTCTTGAGGGGGACCCCACCTCCCTTTTTGCAGTGGCACTGTAAGAACACAGCACATCTCTGCAATCCTAATGCCTTATCCCTTTAAATTCCTCCCTGCCCACACTGGGGTTTCCTGCACATTGGTTTAAATTCCCTGGAATAACAGTGAATTTCTGCAGTAACAACACTCCCTTCCTGCAGGGCACAAGGGATTTTCAAGGGCCAGGATGCGAGACTCTATCTTTTGGTATTTTCAAGGTGGCAGCAAGCTGATGTCACATAAAAATGTGCAGTGTCAGCCCCCTGACCTCAGCAATTTCCTTCTTCCACCCAAAGTCATCCTACACTCAGGCTGCTTCGGGAAGCTCTCCCAGATGGGAGCGGGAAGGGGCTTGGGACTTGGGTCAGGGTCCATCCTGCTCCACGGTCCCTTTGAGAGTCAATGCCCTCCTGAGCCAGGCATTGGGTATGACTTGCTAAAGGACCACAGGATTTGGACACAGGATAACCTGAGCTTCTCCATGTTAAACAAGGCAGGCCAGGAAGGTGTAGGAGCCACAGGAGCAGCCGTTTGCCTGCTCCTCCTGGGTGCTCCCAGCTCCAATCCTTGCCTGCCACACCACATTCCATCTCCTCGCATTCCCATCACCCCATGTATCACTCCCAGACAGGAGCCAGCACCTACGCTGATCCACACCATCATCATTTGGTTATACACAAACCCCTCATCCCTCCTTCCATGCTCTCCACAGAGTTTTCCTCTCTGTAGCTCACTCTCCTTCCAACGGTCCAGTCTTTCCCAGGGGGACTGGGAGATGGATGGGAGGTGGCTGCAGGTTCACCGCGGTGCCACCAGCAGTTCTCATGGCAACTGAGTCCCGAGGAGCAGGGACCTGCTTCCCCCCATGCCCTGACCCCTTGTCTTTGACCCCACGGTGGTTGCAGCACCGTGTGCGTGATGAACGGCTCCCCGCCTGCCTCATTGTTACCGTCCTGCAGCAGCAACATCTGGTTTGCAAACCTGTGCAATATGCCAGCAAAATTAAACTCATCTATCAAAAAAAGCAACAATGAAAAGCCAACAACAGCTAAAAAACACCAATAACAACCAAACCCCAGGCTGAGACGTTTTATTACAAATGAGGCAGTGAAGATTGACCCGTCCTAAAGCAATTCTATTTGCAACCACATTAGAGAGAGGCTGAGCAAAGACATGGATCTTTTCTGGGGGAAACTCCATGAATTTGGGACATTCAGGCTGGAGAAGGAATGAGCTGAGGGGTATGAGAGAGCTCTTGAGCATCCTGAAGGATGGGAAGACATAAAGGCAATCACTGCTGAGACTAAAAGCAGCCTTTGCCAAGCAGACACACTATTCTATGGTGGAATTTGCCATCACCTGATGCTTCCAAAAGTATAAATGGTTCAGAAACGGACTGGGCAGCGTTACGGTGGATGAAATAAATCGGAGGCAATGAAACGTGAGAGTCCTCGAGCTGCTCCAGCTGACTGCTGTTTGTGCTGTGATAAGTGTTGAAATCTCCACTGTGTCTTCCCATGGAGGAGATTAACCCCTTTCATGGCAAAGCTGCAACACAAAAGTTTTCTTCAGCGCCCAGGAATGAGCACGCAGCTCCTCTGCCAGGGCTGGCAGGCAGGGACACGCCAGGAGCCACAGGGAATGTGCTACCACAGCTTTTGGGAGATTAATTAATTACAAAGGGCATCTTTCATGGGCACAAACAGTTGCCTGGAGGCCTTCTCGGACTAATGGCATCTGGGTTTTATTGCAAAAAAGCCACTTGAAAAGACAAGAACCACAAAAATGTTTTTGGCAAGAGCAGCCACCAGCGAGCCCTGCCAGAATAAATGCATTCTGTTATTTTAATTTTAGTAGAGCTCAGAGCTTTATTTAATTACTTAATAGGGGAGGAAGACTTTCCTCAAAGGGAGCGTTTCGGCTATGTGTGCATATTCATAGTTGGCCTTTTCCAGGTCCATACTTCCCAGCAGTGGTGTCTGAAATGGTCATTCCCATGTCTGGCCAAAGGCCCTGGAGGTAGCTCATGAGGTGGCTGCTCTTGCTCTTGCGGGGGGGTTGTGGCCCCTTCCGCACCCCATTGGGCTTCACAGGCCTTCACTTTGGTAATGGAACAGCTGGATTTGTGTTCCCTTGGAGCTGCTGCAGCAAATCCTCCGGCACCGGTGGGAGAGGTGCAGCTGTGGGGCTGGGGACAGGCTGGGGGTGATGCTGTGCAGGGGCTGATACAGGACCAGTGATGCACATGGGATTTCCTGATGCCAGTCCTTGACATCGGCTTGTTAGGACATTCCAGTAACAGGCTCCCAACCCTCAGACACTCCTGCTGTGGGAACTGATCTTTATTATGGCTTTTATATCTCCTTATGAACTATAATGATGTCTTTAAAAAGCTTGCCTTTAAGTTACCCAGGGCAAGCAGGGTGTGAGCTCGACCCCTGCCCTAGAGATCAGAGTCCAAGAGACACCACCTGATCTCAAGTCTCTCTTCTTAACAACTGTGGGGAAGAAGCATCACTTTCTGTCACAGAACCAGAGTAACAAAGCAGGCTCCCCTCTTACAAGCCTGAGCACCCTGTGCTGCTGGAAACGCAGCTTGGAGGAACAGACGCAATGCTGTGTGATGCTGGTATTTGCCAGCAGCCCATGCTGGGTACCCACCTCAGCTCCACCAGGGGCCAGGAAATGGGTTAAACCAGCTGGTTGGCCTCAGCTGACCTGTGCTGCTGTCCCACCAACTCGAAGCGGCAAGAAAAGCTGGTGCTTGGCGAGAAGACAAGCATCGGTTGTTCCAGAAATGAGATTTTGGGGAGGGGACGGCCTGTTTCATGTAGGAGGAGCAGCCCCATGCTGCTGTTTCCCATAGAGGTCATTGGATCCAGAACACTGGAGGTAAGTTTGCTGTTTGAAGTCCATCTGCTGCTTTACTCCCAGCTGGACCAAGCCATGTCCTGCCCACGACCTCCTGGGCTCCTTGGCAGCATGTGAGGCATTAAAAGCAGCTGTGGCTGGACTTGCTGCAAACCTTTCCCACATAAATCTAGTCCAGATCTCTCTGGAAGGGAGGCTGACATCGGCAGATAAGGACAGCTCTTTAGCAGCCCTTATGCCATTGCAACCCAGAGTGATAAATAAAGCTGCTGTGATTACAGTGATCAACCCCACGTGCTCTCTGGCCTCTAGTAAAACCCGCCCCTATTGTGTGCTAAAGGCAGGACTTGCCTCCTCTTAACCCCAGGAGGTGAGTTTGCTCTCCCAAGCAGTCCTAGTACGACTTCTAAAAACTAACCAGCCTGTCAGAGCCCAAGTATCCAGGTATGGATGGAGTGAAATGATCATTCAGAACAAAGGGTGCCAAGGCTGATGCCATGAAGTGCCACCTCAGGGTGAGCACTCCCCTGTGTTGAAGCAGCATCTCAGCTGCAGGGTCTTGTTCACCCTTCTCTATCTGAGTGGATGGCCAGGTCTACCTCCTGCAGCAGCAATGCGAGTTTGTGCACTGCCTGAAATGGCAATTGCAATACAACAAAGGAGGATGCTGGTTCGGACCAGCACTGGGGTTTGCAGCATGCAGCAACACAGCTCCTTGGTGCTGGCGCAGGGAACAACCCAGAATGAGCAGCAAAGGAGAAAGATTCCAGCAAACAGCCTGGAAGTGCAAAGCTCCATCAACTAAGTCCTGAGATGGAGAAAACTCACATCTGGGGGATCTGCAAGGCAGTGGCAACCTGGGGATGCTGCTGGTGTTCCTGGACCCCTTCAGATAGCTTGGTGCTCTCCCACCCACCTGCAGCAGCAGCAGAGGCAGTGAAGGAGGAGCTGCCGCTGCTCCCTTCTCCAGCACACTGATGTTTACCCTTATCTTTGGCCACACTCCTACTGACCTGGCCGCAGCCCCAAAGGGACAGGCAGGCTGGGAGCTATCTGCTGGATAAAGGATGGGAATGAAGCAGGAAT